ATGGCGACAAAGATGAGGACAATAGTCCGACTAATGTAAATACTGTACATAATACCTCATCTCAGAAATATAGACAGACTCCGAATGTTTTGTTATTAATAAATGCCGAATGTTTCCTATTAATAAATTCCGAATGTTTCTTATTAATAAATGCCGAATGTTTCCTATTAATAAATTCCGAATGTTTCTTATTAATAAATGCCGAATGTTTCCTATTAATAAATTCCGAATGTTTCTTATTAATAAATGCCGAATGTTTCCTATTAATAAATTCCGAATGTTTCCTATTAATAAATTCCGAATGTTTCTTATTAATAAATTCCGAATGTTTCCTATTAATAAATTCCGAACGTTTCCTATTAATGAATGCCGAATGTTTCCTACAGATATTTTCTTCATTATCATTAGAATCTGAAACAAACGCGTTATGAATAGAAAACATGTGAAGAAATGAAAATTTCCTCTTTTTGAGCAAATCATTTTTCTTGTCTTTGCTCAGTTCAACGTAGGGAATAATATTTTATCAGACTCAGAATCTTACACACAGAGAAACATTGACAAGGAACCGTCAATTATTTATGACACAACATGATATATAAGAATTTGAAAGTATTGTAAAGGGAGCTAACTCTTTACCATTCAAAGGTCAACTTTTAACTTGGAACCCTTAATAACCCGCGACACTGACTGGCTAACTACTGCCCAATCAGGAACCCTTCTTGGAGCCTAAATCTTGAATCCTAAATCTTCCTCTTTTGCAAGTATCAGCCGTAGCGACCACATTGGAGCCGTCCTTTCCGATGTTAATGGAGTGCAGAAGCCACAAGGCCGCAAATCCTACGTCATCCTTGAACACTCCTTTTTCAGTTAAGTCCGCAAATATAAATTATATTTGCAAGCCATTTTTTTTTACCTATTGCATATATACTCCTCTGTACATTAAACCCGTTGAATTTAATACTGTCGTTGAGCTGTTTCTCTTCTTCATGTATGTCCGTCTTTGTCTTTGTCTCTGTGGAATTAACTGGATCCGATGAAAATCTTTATAGGTAATGCTTTTTATTATTGACACAACATAGTAATGTATTTTATCTGTAAATATTACAAGTTCGGTACTTTTTGCTTCATTGACGCAAAATGATCGAATTTAAAATCTAAATTGTCCTTTCGGTTTATGATTTGATTTATTTAACGGCATATCAACTCCTTATGGGTCATTTAATGCGGAAATTAAATTTTCTTGGGCTCTTTGAAGTAATAAAAATATGATATATGTTGTTCTGCTTTCACAATTGAATACAAGATAAATGATACTCTGCTTTTGTGTATACACCATATTTGTGTGGATATTATTACTAGAAGTTGTGATATATGTTTTATGTTGTAATTTTGTTGAAGTTATATTTTCGAATACAGTTTGATTTCTTTAAAAAAAATTGCAGAACATTATATGGATTAATGTCATGAAAGAGTTCTTTCATGTTTGTTGGTTGACTGATTTTGTTAAGCGGAATATAAACGTATATGGGTTATTCAATGTCGAAATCTAAATATTTTGAACAGAATTTTTTAACTTCAACTAAATATGTACTATAAATAAGTACTGTTGATAATTTTACTATAAATAGGTATTGTTGGCAATTTTACTATACTTATGTATTGTTGGGTGTTTGCTATTTGTCCATAGCTGGGACCCTAACAGGTGCTACCACTCCGGATCATGAGGAACACTAACAATTAAGAAGTGGTTCGACGATCCTCAAAAATTCCAATCTTCCGATCAGGAGTCTTACTGACAGATATAGTTTATCGTCATACTCAGAACTAGTTTGGCCTTTTAAAATACTAAATTTATTAGAAATTAAATTCAGTTTACATACAGAAAGAATCATAAAAATTACGTCAAAGTGCCGGTATATACACTTATCCTTTTACCCGATGATTTTTACCAGACAGAAAGGAAAATTAGTCATCGCCACTGAGATGCTCATTTCAATTTCGTTCAAATTGTGTATGTACGTCTGATGCTAGAAATTGCAATCATCTTGAGAGATCTGAACGCCAAGAGCAAGAAAGTTAAAACGTTTGGTGAATTCGGACTAGGAACTCGTAATGGTCGAAGAGAAAAAATGGGTTCAATGATGCATAGCCAGCGACCAGGTAGTAGCCAACACATGATTTCATGAACATCCGAGACGTTTATAGACTAAGAAAAGTCCAGGAGGAGAAACGAAGAACCAAATATTCTATATAACGCTCAATAAGAGATTCAGGAACGCAGTTTTACGCTGTAAAACATATTTTAGAAAAAAAAAAAAAAAACTCTGACAAAGTGGAAAAAGTTTTTCTGTGACGCGTTTCGTCCCTTAGGACTTCGTCGAGTTAAAGTGATTTTTACGTTGATGCGACTGCGCATGCGCATGAAGGAGAGGGGATGCCGAGAAATTTAAATTTGAATTATTTATTTATTTTTAATATATGTTTTGGGTATATAATCTAGCCTGTCTCATTTAGTTTCTTTTTCTTTTTGTTCATGTTTCCATCACTCTTGTTATTAAATATCTCACACTGTGATAATACAAAATCTACCAAGAAAGGTGAAATGTTGTAAGAACCGGGACGTAAATTTACTCTGGATGACATAGCAATTAAAGCACTTTCTATACATTTAAAGTGCCGACTGAGGGAGCGACCACCTTCCAGTGATATGTAAATTTATAGTGAAACTACGGAAGTTGAAGAGATCTAAGGTAGCATCCTAACTGCAATATGATACATCCCTGAATGACTCGAATTTAGGAAAAAAATGTATAGACAGTTTTACAAGCAGATAGAAAAAACTAATTGAGAACCAAAATTCGGAGTGGGCCATATTAAGAGAAACTTTAGTCATACCAGCAAAGGAGGTCATCTCAAAGAAAACTAAACAAGGGAAAAAGAGATGGTACAGAAATAGAAAGAATGAGCATTACAGATAAGGTATATATACATAAAAGAATAAGAGAAATATCAAGACAAAAGACATATTCACCAATAGGATACATAAAATCCACTGACGGAACACCGATAATAGCAAAAGAAAATATGCTTCAAAGATGGAACGAGTACATCGGCGAATTCTTCAACGACGAAAGAAGAAAACCGGCGTTATACAAAAATATGGAAGAGCCAGAGATATTGAAGTTTGAAGTGAAATCAGTACTGGCCAAATTGAACAAGAAAAAAAGCAGTTGGTCAAGACTAAATTGTAATAGAGATGCTGACAGCCTTAGATGATTTCAGTACTGACAAATTTACTTTTATAATAAATAAAATATACGTCAGCGGTGATATAGACCTAAGTAGATCCGTTTTCATAACGCTGCCTAAGAAGCCAGATGCAAACGAATGCGAATGCTATCGAATAATCAGCCTAATGAGCTGCATAACAAAACTTAACATTTGAATTCTGATAAATAGAGCGTACAGCAGAATTAGAATCGAAATAGGACAAGAACGGTGCACATTTTTGTTAAAGACACTGGATCAAGGAATGCGATATGTATTCTCAGAATGATATCAGAAAGAGCGATACAAATGCAAAAGAACATACAATCTATGTTTTATAGATTATGCAAAAGCATCTGATAAAGTAGAGCCCAAAGAACTACTTGAACAACTAGGTAAACTTGATTTGTTTGGGAAAGATATTAGAATAGTATAGGACATTTACTGGGAGCAAGTTGTCTGCATACAAATGAATCCAGTAAATAGACAAAAATAGAAAGGGGCATAAGACAAGTATGTGTCTTTTCTCCGGACTTATTCAGTCGTTACAGTGAAAGAATTAGAAATCTTACCAAGATTTATTATTGATGGCCACAATGTTAACAACATAAATTATTCAGATAACACAGCGCTGATAGCAGACACCCCAAAAGGAAACTGTGGAGACTCATACAAAAAGTAATAAAGTAAAGGACTAAAGATCAATGGTAAGAAGACAAAATGTATGGTTGTCAGCAAAAGGGGCATCCCAAGAGGCGAACTACGAATTAGAGACACCAAAATCAAGCAAGTACAAAAATTTAAATATCTAGGAAGAGTTTTAACAGAGGACGGAAAATGTGACACCGAAATCCGAATGCTAATCGGAATAGCGAAACATGCCTTCCAAAAGCTAAACAAAGTATTAAGAAACAGAGAAAATTCATTAAAAACAAAGAAAAGAGTTCTGAACTGTTATGTAATATCGATACTCATGTATAGCAGCGAATGCTGGAAAATCACACCCCAGACGGAGAAGAGACTTGAGGCAACAGAAATGTGGTTCTACAGAAGGTTGATGAGAATATCATGGACTGAACATGTGAACAACGAGGAAGTTCTGGGGAAAAGGGAAACAAAAAGGACACATGCTTATAATCAGAAAGAAACATCTGAAATTTCTCGGGCACATAATGAGGAAAGAGGGCTCGGAGAATTTTACGCTTACTAAAAGCAACAGGGACAGAGGAATAACCTAGCTAATGAGCTTGCATAAATGGTTGGCAGAACAGGAATTAGGAGAGATAGCAAAAAGACAAATCTTACTAAGAGTTGCAAAGAACCGGAAGTTGTGGAGAGCCATGGTCGTCTACGTCTTGAATGGACACGGTACATAGAAGAAGAAGTCCTTTGTGCGTGCGTATCTATATCTTAATTCAATGACAGACGTAAAATATTTCTAAAAAAAATTCAAAAATCAGTTCTGAAAATAATTATATTTATTACTTAATAATTTCCAGTGTTCAATAAATTCTCATAATTATCTTTTTATAGGTTTACAGATTTTTTTTTCTTGTCTTCAACTTTATAACTTGGTTGTTCAGGTTAGGGCTTGTCTCGATTGAGTGGTAGGGGAATGTATTATTCTAAATGTCTTATTTCAAATTCAGATAGATTGTATGCGAGCGTGTGCGTGGCCGTGTTGTGGTATATTAAATGTTACTCTCACATACCACAAACATACGCATAAACAGGGTGTGATAGAAATACCTCCTACATCTCTCTCTCTCTCTCTCTCTCTCTCTCTCTCTCTCTCTCTCTTCTCTTTATGCGCCGTGTTACATCGAGACATAGACGATCATGACTCTCCACAATTTCCTGTCCCTTGCAGCTATAAATAATTTCTGTCTTTTCGTTATTTGTAAACCCTGATCCGCCATCAATTTTCTCAAGCACGTCAAGGATGTTATGCGTTCGTTTCCTCAGACTCTCTTGCTCCCAGTCCGTCTTGTGAGTAACAGATTTTCCAAGCCCTCCGTCCTCATTATGTGCCCCATAAATTTCAACGGTCTCTTCCTGATGTTAAGTATAAGTTTCCTTTTTGTTTCCATTTTCTTTAAAACCTCGTTGTTGCCGTTCGGTCCATGGTATCCTCAGTATCTTTCTGTAGAATCACATTTCTGTTACGTCTTCAGCTTCGAGATGATTTTCCAGCATTCACGGTCATGTAGGAGGACAGATATCACGTAACAGTCCAGTAATCTTTCTTTGTTTCTAACAAAGTTTTTTCTATATTTCTGAGATGAGGTATTATGTACACTGTTTACATTGCTCGGACTATCATCCTCATCTTTGTTGCCATATTTATTACAACGTTTCTCAAGGTCACATGGCACAGGTGTTAGTAAGATCCAGTGACAGGACCCAAAGAGTGTGAGTCCAATACCTAGTTAAGACGGTGGAGAACTTGGAGAGGGGAATTAACTGGAGATAGCTGATAACTGACTTCGATTAGACATGGCACGTGGAACTAGAACAGTCTACTCCAGCGAGCGAAATAAAGGGTTCAGTTCGACATTCCAACCACCTGAAGAAAGTCGGAGCGTACAACGACCGAAACGTTGTGATAAATATGGCAACAAAGATGAGGCTGATAGTCCAAGCAATGTAAATAAAGTTTTTTTTTCTCTCTAAATCCTTAGCTTTTGGAATGTATCTTTGGCTATCCCAATTCGTCTTCGCATTTCAGTGTCACATTTTCCGTTCTCTGTTAGAACACTTCCCAGATAGTTAAATTTTTGTGATTGGTTGATTTGGTATTTCCGATTTGTAATTTGCATTTAGGTTCATTCTTTTTCTAATGACCATATATTCTGTCTTCTTGTCGTTTATGTTTAGTCCTTTCACGCAGCTATATTTACTTCCATAAGAAGACATTAGTGGCAGTGTTGTCTTAGCTTTATGTGGGAGGTATTAGTAGGAGGTATTTCTGCCGCACCCTTACATGACGTACGCACATGCAAAGTCACACGTAGACAGTGTGTGATGGACAGAGAATCAGCTCTTGTTTTTATAGAGAGATTTGGTGTGTTTAAATGTCATCAGTGTTTGCTTGTTTTTTTTTTTTGTTTTTCTTACTAGTGCCTGAATACACAGTACAAAATCAGTACAAAAACATATGGAAACTTTTGCACACACTTCATATTGTTGGTCGTTCATTAAAGAAAAAAAAAGACAAATTATCGAAATAAAAAAAATTCTTTTGCTCGTAACCAATATCTCCGTTTATCTACTTAGATACATGTATTTATTTATGTGAATGTGTGAGAACACGAGTACATCTTGGGCGACCGGTGCGCATGTGCGCACGCGCAATATATATACACACACGCGCGTGCGCACTCACACACACACATATATATATATATATATATATATATATATATATATATATATATATATATATATTGGAGGAAAGAAATATGACAAAACGGGAAAGTTTTCGTGTGACGCGTTTCGTCCTTTACTTCATCGAGCTAGGCTTGTTTACGTTGATGCGACTACGCATGCGCACGAACGAAAGAGAGACGCTTAGAATTTTAAATTTAGAAAAAAATATGTGTTTTAGCTGTGTTTTGATTCGACTTAGATTGTTTTATTTTTGTTTCCATCATCTTTGTTATGAAATATTCCACATTGTGATAACGGAAGTAATTATCATTGTGATTATCATAACAGCTTGTTATGATCCAGAAAGATGATGATATTTCATCATTCTAAAAATAACCATGATTATAGAAAAGGAGGATATTTCATCATCTTATCCTCTTCATTATAAAAACGACCCTTCCACCACAAGATAGTAGAGAACAGTAGAGTAGACTAGGGTACCTGTAGCAGTAGCAAGGAATGAGTAGACAAATAGCAATAGCAGTACAGAAACACGCATCTAGCCAACGCTCCTCGAAGATCGAAAATAGGCGATTTCAAATGTCATTGTCACAAACGAAATTCTCGGAACCAAACCAAGTCATCACCGACTTATAAACAAAAGAGACGCTAGGAACATTTTTACACACGCCATACCAATATTCTGTAATTCACATCACAAAAAGAAAATACAACTTATTGTTATTTATGTCAACACGTGTCTCAAGTTTTTATTGTTGTTACCGTTGTACGTTTTATGCATTTTAATTTGTCATTTAATATCAACTCCGTTACAGTCAACAAATAATATCACGTCGAGACAACTACACCAACACCAACTATTTAACCTAGTTACAACCTTCAGTGATCACAATGTGGGATATTTCATAACAAAGATGATGGGAACAAAAAAAAGAAACTGAATCTAAATCGAAACGACTAGATTATTTCTGTGATGTCAACGAACACTCGTTGTCACTTTCGTAATGCTCATTGTAGTAGAGACTTTGTAATCACGGACACAACTATAGTAACTCCGTTGAACAATGCTGGTGTCAGACGTCTTCGAATAACACTCTCGCTAATAGTACTTGCTCGATAATACTCGCTCGAACAGTAGCCCGTATAGTGATCCAAATATAGTATAGTGAATAGAGTAGAGAATAGCGGTCCGTATAGTGACAGAAGATAGAGCAGAAATGGTGATCCGTATAGTAATAGAAGATAGAATAGAAATAGCGATCGTTAGTCGTCAGCTATTTCCTACATATATGCGTTTCCTCTATGGTCACGTGCTCTACTTAATTCAATAATGGGATCGCCTATGTTTGATCACTGGAGATCTATGTTCAAACTCAAGTGTCGGCATATATAACAATTATATAGGGTGACCCAAAAAACCGGAAATTTTTTAAATGCGTATTGCCAGACATGAGCAAGCGGCAACACTGCGAGACAGTGACCTTGAGCAAGTAAACATTTCGCCATTTAGAATTCAAGATGAAATTCACAGTATCCCAGCTCTGATGTTGCAGCAGTCAATGAGGAATCTCAACAGCAGATTTCAAGAATGCATTCGTACAGGAGGACGCCATCTACAGGACGTAATTTTAAAAAAATGAAAATTCCACAATTGTTTGTTAAATGGCATGTTCTAAGGTTTCAATTACTATGAATAAAATATTTTTCTTCCATCGCTCTTGGTTTTATTGTATTGTTAAAAAGTTCCCGTTTTTTTGGGTCACCCTATATAACCAAAACACTTTTAGTTTTAAAAATATTATTTTTCTAAATTTAAAATTCCCAGCGTCTCTCGTTCTTGCACACATGTAGTCGCATCAACGTAGACATAAACTTCGTCTGATGAAGTCCTACATGACGATACACGTCACACAGTGACGTGCAGAGGTTTGGTGATGTTTGGTGATGTCCGGGGCCAACTCTTTGATCGTATGTGCCCAAGACTCAAGTAGCAGTGTCTATAGGGCCTACTACCGAGAAGTGTGAGAAAGGAAGACATTTTAAATATGTAAAAACAGATGAAACTTGAAATTAACACTTTATTCAAGTTAAATATAAACTAAACTTTTATTTCACTCTTTAATTGGATGCCCTCCCGATAAGGATGCCCGCGCCGTCACACCATCTCCCCCACACTTCTGCACACTACTTCCGTTACACGAAAAAATTTTCCACATTGTCATACATCTTTACTCCAAAATTGTTCTTGATACATAAAAATTATATATCATTATCTCATATATATATATATATATATATATATATATATATATATATATGGGGTGGGAAAAATTACATATCAAAACGAAAAACAGTTAGACTAATTTCATATAATTGGACCATTGATTCCTTTAGATATTGAAATTCTTATAACTGGCAATTAAATATTGCACTGTACTGAACTGTAGAAAGCCACACAAGAAGAATTCTTCCATTCTGCTGACGATGTCAGCAAGTACTCTGAAGGAAAGAAGAAAGAAACATAAGAGGCGGACGAACAAGATTTTTCCTTTTGTACTGCATTCATTTATCTGTTGTATATTTAATTTACTGCTATATTTTCCAAACAATCAGTGGAATGAAGCGCTCACACACACACACACACACACACACACACACACGCACGCACGCATATATACATATACAGCAATCTCCTTTATCCGCGGTGGTGTATGTTCCAATATCGCGCATATTTCCGAAAGCTGATATTTTTTTTCTATATATAATCATTTCACCCCAAGCAAGGTGATAATACTACTAAGACGCAAGGGGGTTACTACTGGTAGAGGAAAATGATAAGAATTTAGCGAGGAGAAAGGACAATAAAAGATCAGGATTCACTGAGACAGAAGATGGCGAGTGACGCTGCATTTAAACTTTTGAAGGTTATAAGTGACAGAGAAGCAAAAAATTGGTAGGGAGTTCTAACTGGCTTTTTGGTAAGACCAATACAAAAAAGAAATCTACTGAAGTCTTTGGGTGAGAGTTGAAAGCAACCCCTACTACACAAAGCAAAGGCAAAACACAATAATAATAATAATAATAATAATAATAATATTCAAAAAGCTGTCAAAATACAAGGACCTTGAAATAGAAATCTCAAAAATGTGGCATATGGGAACATCAACAATCCCTGTTGTAGTTGGAACCCTAGGAATGGTTGGAAAAGATTCCAGTAGACTAATTGAAGGGATTCCTGTAAGTACATGCCTCAAAGAGATACAAAAAATTGTTCTGACGAGTACAACCCATACTTTACGAAGGGCTTTATCTATGTAATTTTTTTTTTTTTTTTTTTTTTTGTCAGTGGAAAGTGTCATGATGTCATTTCTAATCTTAGGTCCCTGGGCGGGACCCGGAAAGAAATGTGTAAACGCCAGAAATCAAAGAAAATAAAGATAATAATAATAATAAATAACGCTAGCAACTTCATCGGAGATAAAAAAAAAAAAAAAAAAATTAACATGAAATGTGGCCATAACAACACACCACGACCTGCCTTAGGTCTTTCCGCAGACTTGGTAGGTAGTGTGTCCATAGCAGAAATCGAATGATGATGATGATAATAATAATAATAATAAATTTTTTATGAGTGTAAGTTAAAAATTATCCGCACTTTCGCCATATATCTTTAAGAATGCGGATAATTTTTTGACTATCTCTCGTATGTTATGTGTATGAATGACAAACTTCCTTTTATACATGTTTCATTGAATGTAACAGACAAGGAAAATCTTATAAATTTTTTTATGTAGTTTTTATGATGTTCTTATATTATTTTTGTCAGAATGTTTATTATCCACAGTGCTTTCAGTCAACTGATTAGCCATTTTTAAGGGATCCGTTGTTAATATTTTTCCCTGTTCATGTGTATTATGTATATGTCTAGTAGTAATCGTAGGCTGCGCGAGAGGGTACGGCATGACTTTATGTTGGAGTGCCTTATTAGATGGCCAACAACACATTTGAATTATTCTTAAATAAAGTAAGGCCTGAATTGTTTTATATAAAGAGCCTCGATATTTTTTTAAATTGGCGTCGACAGACAGATTTCTTTAGAATAATGATGTATGTTATCAATCAGAATTTTTGTAATGGGTACAGACAGTTGTTTTTGGGGTGTCCAGATATTTACTAATAAACTGCCAATAAATAACGAATGGAAAAGTTGATCTTTTTAAAGGACAATTCAAGTTGCTATTCTGCAAAGACAACTTTTTCGTATGCCATTGATCACTTTTCATCTGTGATGAAGTATCTTTCTTTATCTCCAAACCCCAATCCCATAGGAAATGTTTAACGAATTATGACAACAGATGTAGACGAAAAAAATGTATGTCCGTATATGTTTCAGGATTTCTATTTCCTTTTATCAGCCAATGATTTACAACGATTTCATTTTTGAATATTTCAATGTTCCCTCTGTACAAGGTTCAACAGCCACTCGAGGTAGAGGATTACGGAGTAAGAAGCACCGTTTATGAGGATATGGGGAGAAGATAATGGTTAACACTTGACTTAAACAAGTTAAGATTATAGTGATCGGGGAAGCATCATCTTGGAAGTCTATAAATCAGCGGTTCGTGGGAAGAAGCCGCCCGTTTGGAACTTATATCTCAACAACAAAATACGAAGGGAATGAGGATGGTTCGATCCAATGTTCGTGACATGGTGGGAGTTCGCTCATCAAATAAACTGACTATTAAAGAAGGATTTGGGATTGCTAAATGAGAACCTTATTTAAATGACCAAGTTAAATCCTATATGACTGTCTTGGAGAAATAAAAATTATTTTTCCTGGAAACGAATGAAAGAAGAGAGAATGTCCACTCCTTTTTTACCGAATGTTAAAAAGACTCTCAACTACTACGTGAAATTTAAGCGATCAAACATTTATCACAAAACATATTACAACAATAAAACAAAGATGGGCTTGCGCAAAAATTTTCTTTTGTGTGCCTTGTTTAAAAACTAAAGGAGAATAACATATCAAACGATATACACGTTATTTTAAAAGATTTCAAAACAATCTTTCAAAAAATGAAAAAACTTTGAAAAGGTAATACAAATGTTGGATAAGGCAGAAAATACCTTTTGGAAAAAGAGATGCACCCACCTAATAGAAAGGTTACAAAATAAATCACAGAACGAAATTTCGAACTATTGATGTTACAGGAACTTTTTATAATGTTTATTTTATAGAACACAGTTCTAATAACCGGTTTAATTCCTATATGCTTCACAGGAGGCAGCCAAACATTGATTTTCCATCTGGGTCCTTATTCTGCCTTCAGAATGAACATTTTGCGTCAGTTCATCTTGGTTGAAATATTTGATTCTTCTTTGAAGATTTGACTTCCTTTGAAATCGGAAAACCTTCTTCCGCATCCAGCACACGCCATCCCTTTGTGTGACGCATCACTCCCTTCTGCCGTCTAACCACCTTCTGACTTTAAATTGAATACCTTCTGAAGCTAATCTGCTGGCCCTTTTCTTTATATAAGAATCGAAGTGGCTCCAGATAGGCTTTAACTTTAAATTTACGTGGATAATAAATAGAAATTGTACATATTTTTTTAATTTAAAAAATGAAATTGAAGCAATCTATCTTGAAATTATTGACGGTTCTTTAACAGCCAATTCTAAAAATAGAAAAGTCCAGGCACAAATGTAACAATTTTTTATAAACGGTTTATAAAACGGTTTTAGAAATGAAAGCGGCGAGTGGGAGGTTGAGAGGTAATTTAACCGAATACCTCTATACCCCCTTCCCCGCTTTTATTTCTTATTAAAGTTGACTGTCATGTGTACATTTATTGTAACCATTTGTATCAGTCTTAAAGTTTATGTCTGGCTGCCGTTAGATGTCAAATCTTGGCCATGAAACATTTGTAAGATAATAATTTCTAATTCTTTTCTTTTTCGTTTGAATTTAACGTAGGTCATATTCGATTGGTTGATCAGGGTAAATCCCTCAAGCCTTTATATATTTTTAAAAAAAATGAGGATGTATTTTGCTTTTAAACCAAATTAATCGTTTACTCGTCAGCAATTTACAATCGCCTGAGGAGACGCATCGTTATGTGTTGAAACACGACTGCAATTGTGTAGTGATTCTTCCATGTTTTTGTTGTAATATCTTAAAATAATATATGTATATATATATATATATATATATATATATATATATATATATATATATAAGCTGTTTTGTGCTATCAATAAATTTGCCAAAATTCAAAATTAACTTATATTTTATATTGTTTGTTCCGAGTACTTTCGAATGTTGCTACATTCGTTTTCAATAACCATATATTGAAGTGTGCTTAATATTAAGACACCAAAAATAATTCAGTTTGACCGTTTATATGACGTCACCTTGTGTGACTTGAAATTGATTCAATCAAACGTGAGAACGTCAGTATTAAAAACCAGTTGCTAACTACACACAAAACAATCCTTGAAATTGTGCGTGCATGCGTGTATGTGTACATGTGCGTGCGCGCGCGCGCGGTGTGTGTGTGTGTAAACTGCATTTAAATTTATATTTTTTTGTCGGTCACTTTTTCTTTTTTCCAGTTGATTGCTTTGTCTTCTGCTTCCTTCCTCCCTTCTACTCTAATTTTTTCTTACAATTTCTCGTTTTTCTTGTTTTTCTCATTTGTTATAGAGTTCTTCTTTCAACTTCTTTTTCTTTTTTAATTCCTTCCTTCCTTTGCGTCTTTCATTCTCTTTCTTTCTTTATTTTCACTCCCTTTCAACTGATTTTTCTTTTTTTCTTTCCCCTTTTCCGCCCCCTTCTCTTTATCTGAATGTTTCTTTATTCTCTGATTCATCTCTTTTCTCCAGTCCTCTTTCCCTTATTACTAACTTCTTCGATTCTTCGTTTTAACATTTTTTGAAAGGTAAATTTTTATACTTAATGGACATCCAATCGACTTTTAGCATTGATTAAGCGCTTTTCTAAAATAAAAGTAACCAACTCACACCATCCGAGAGGAAATTGTTAAACGTAATGACCGCTATATCTTTTGCATTGCTTGCGAATCTTTTAATTCGTTTGTACTGAGGAAAAAAAAAATCTTTGCTCGGCTTCGGGTCCACTTATGCTGCATAATGATTTGGGTTGGAATATATTCGATTTTAGAATCAACAAGACTCAATAACTTGTATTTGTTTTCGATGCTAATTAGAAATAAAAACAGGCTTCGTAAGTTTTCTCTTTAAAACCTATTTTTTTTTATTTTGAGTGCCATATTGAAAAATCAGGTGAATCAGTTAGTTTTCTCCAGTTCCTACTCAGCAGATTTTATAAACTGTTCAACAGAAGTTGCCTTCACAATCTTCTCTCGCTTACAGCGGTTTTAATTAATAGCCATTATTAACTATCAGTTTCGTATTATGGACATTATGCTATTAAAATCACACATTACTGTCTTTTTCTTCTCTTTCTTCTGCTTGCACATTTACCATTACTTTTTACACTACTTTTTCTTCTACTTCTTTTCTTTTTAATCTTCTTCTTGCATTTTTACCTTTACTTCTTGTACCTCTTCTTCTTCTTTTTGCACTTTTACCTTTACTTCTTGTACCTCTTCTTCTTCTTCTTCTTCTTTTTGTACTTTTACCTTTACTTCTTGTACCTCTTCTTCTTCTTCTTTTTGTACTTTTACCTTTACTTCTTGTACCTCTTCTTCTTTTTGCACTTTTACCTTTACTTCTTGTACCTCTTCTTCTTTTTTGCATTTTTACCTTTACTTCTTGTACCTCTTCTTCTTCTACTTCTTCTTTTTGCACTTTTACCTTTACTTCTTTTACTTCTTCGTCTTAGATTGACCTTCTTTTTGGTCCATTGCTTTTTTTCTGTTTATTGAAATTCTCCATTCCACTGAACATCTTTTCTTTTCTACTACTACTACTACTTCTCTTCTTTCTTCGTCTATTTCTTATTCTCCTTCTCTTTCTTCTTCTTCTTGCACTTTTACCTTTACTTCTTGCACTCCTTTGTCTTTTCCGATTGACCTTCTTTTTGGCCCATTGCCTTTATTCTGTTCATTGAAATTCTCCATTCTATTTATTTTCCTTTTCCCTTCTTCTTTTTCTTCTTCTCCTCCTCCTCCTCCTCTTTCTTCTTCTTCTTCTTCTTCTTCTTCTTCTTGCAATTTCATCTTTACTTCTTGCACTCCTTTGCTTTATTCGATTGACCTTTTTTGCCCAATGTCTTTCTTCTGTTCATCGAAATTCTCCATTCTATTGCACTTCTTTTCCTTTATCCTTCTTCTCTTTCTTCTTCTTACACTCTTATCTTTAGATCTAGCACTTCTTTGTCTTCTTCAACTGACCTTCTTCTTAGCCCACTGCCTTTCTCCACTCCACTGCACTTCCTTCCTTCCTTCCTTTACTTTTTCTCCTCCTTTTCCTCTACTTCTTCTTTTTCTTTTTCTTCTTCTTCTTCTTGTACTTTTACCTTTACTTCTTGCACTACGTTGTCTTCTTCGATTGACCTTCTTCTTGTCCACCTGTCTTTCTTCTGTTCATTGAAATTCTCCATTTCACTACATTTCTTTTCCTCCTTCTCCTTTTTTATTCTTCTTCTCCTTCTCTTTCTTTCTTTCTTCTTGATCTTGTTCCTGTTCTTCTTCTTTTACCTTTTACCTTTGCTTTTTGCACTTCTATGTTTAAGATGGCGCTATGGTCGGATAGGTGTCCAGTAGGACTCATTTAAACACACACACAAACCTACCAGACTCCATCTATACTAGTAGAAAATACAAACATAATAACCTCATCCACATGTAAAAAAAAGATAAAAAATAATGGAATCCCTTACAATAAAAAAGTAAAATCCAACTCCCAATAACATTAACTATGAACATGGCCACAATGTGCTGACCGTGTTTTGAAAATAAAACATTACTATAACTCTAGATACATACATAACACAACTCATACATTCACTTAAAAATAAAATAAGATCATCTATATCTATAATTCTCAAAATGTGTGAGTGTGTGTGTGAGAGAGAAAGAGAGAGAGAGAGAGAGCGAGAGAGAGATATTTGACAACGCATTCCATTTGAGAATTCATACTTGCTTAAGACATGTTACCAAAGAAAAGAACTTGCCTAGGTCACAAAACCGCTGCTGGTCCGCCATGCGAATAAAAGATAACAAATCGTCTTTAGAATGTTCAGTTTGCCTATCTATGCCTTTCAGAATGCTTCAATCAGAGCCACTGATTCCGATGATCAACGTAGTCATCGGCTTTCCAGAAGAGCATACCTGAACGCTTCTGCCTCAGTTGCACGCAATTGTTGTTACTAATATTGATTTTCGGGTGGACTGACTTTAAACTTAAACTGCTCCAACTGAACGGTAAATTTACCAGCAATGAAAGACCCGGTCGAAGACGGGTTATACTGGTAGTCCTTGATAATTGCTAAAAGTATAGCCGAAAGCTTTCCGACATGAAGAACTTTTGGACAGTTTCTACACATTTTGTGTCCAGAAGAGAAAACACTTGTACACACACAAGAAAAATTAAATAAAAAACTTAAGCACAGTATCTTGTCTGCCGTCTTTAATGAAACACACACACACATATATATATATATATATATATGTGTGTGTGTGTGTGTGTGTGTGTGTGAATAGAAGCAATATACCACCAGTTTTTTTTACCGCAAAAGGTTATCTAGGATATTTGAGATTAAATGCTTATAACTTAATCAAGATGTTAACACCCCACACTATTTCAGACAGACGCTTGGAAAGGTAGCCTCCATCAATACTGGAAAGAGCGATTACAGCTAGTGGACTTCAGAAACCTATTTTCCTAAAAAAATGTTTTAATCAAAAGATTTTATAAATTTCAACCAACGGTACCACTGGTTGCTCGGTCAGTGATGTCGAATGTTTCCTTATAAGGAAACGGATAATATTACCATTACAACTACTTATGTAATGTATGATTTTCTGAGGGAAACTTCAAGGATGTACACATATAAATAAATTATTATTAATATCTCTATAATACTAAAACTCTAATTTTGTATATGTGTATGTTTACTCCCAAGATACAGCTTAAACGATACATAATGCCCAAACCAATTTAGGAGCAAACTGTACCAAATTTCATTAAAATTACCCAAGGGGTTCTTGTGCTAGAGCCATTGTTCTTGTTTTTACAACATTTTTAATAGATAATTCAGTATTTGTTTTCAATACACATTCTTATATCAATCCGCGTATATAAACAAATATTTGCATATTATACTCCACAAAGAATAATAAGCAATGAGAAATGCTGACAAAAGAAAGAAAAATACTTCTTACTTGAATGTCACCAGAGATAACCTTCTGGATCCGTTATCTCTCCTGGGTTGTGAGAGATAAGGATGGTGGGTCTGTAGTTGGCCTGCCATTTGGGTACTGAGTGTTCTAGGTTTATTTCCCTATTGCCATGTAAGGGCAGATAATAATAAACATGCACCATACATTATAACAACATAACATTAAATAAATTCACACATGCATAACGCAGCATATATATATATATATATATATATATATATATATATAAAATTCACTACACGACATTATAACTTTTTTATAAACAAATATCTGTTATGTTTGTCAAGTACATGACAGGTGAAGACGCTATGTGTATGTGTCATTGTAAAACTTAGTCTCTATGACTGGAAAGCTGTGTCAAAGGACTTAATGGTAAATAAATAAATGCACCCTGGTTTGCCGCCGCTATGTGTTTTGAAATAAATATGAGGCAGAAACAAGTATGTATAATAAAAATATAATTATTATTCATTTATTATTGCGTTTGATCTAAGTAAAATTGTATAATGTGAGTAAGAATAATTATTACAATAACTTGCATTGAAAATTCAAATTAAATTATGTGTATTTAATAATAACATTGATAATATTGTTTCCTCATCATTTTTTTTTAACATGAACTGTTTTTAAAAGTAGCACAACGGGTTTATAGGTGGTTTAGTAGGTAAATTTTGACGGAGATTAATCTTACACCAGGCCACACGTTTAGGAATGAATGTCGATGTCACAACTAATAATTTATAAGGGCCGTAAATCGCGCACACACGCACGCATATACCCAAAGCAGGCGAGTAAATAATAGCGAAAATATAGTCGAAAAATAGACATGGAAAAGGTAGGATAGATAGATACTTTAATCCCCTTGGAAAAGGAATAAATCCATTTATCCCTTCCCTGTGATCTGTCCCTCTGCCAGACTTGTCAAAATATCAGTGATATAACAGAATAGTTTACGAAAAATAGATTGGGCGTAGATGGGAAAATTGTTATCAACTACTGTACAATAACTACCAGTAATGATAGTACAAAATATGTAAGACTTATAGACAATCTTGATATGGGTCAATGAGCTCGTGTATATATATATATATATATATATATATATATATATATATATATATATATATATATATATATATCCTGTATTCCTTTAGATATTGTCGGTACGACCGAGAGGGGGAACATGTAGTCTGGGCGGCGGAAGGCCTTCATATACCACCGCCTAGGCCAGAACCTTGAAGAAGTCACTCCAGTTTCACCACCAAGGACTGGATGTTGATCAAACCTTTATCTCGTAGGATAAACTGATGCCTACTAAAGCTTTTTGGAAATCATAAAATTTTCGGTTGATCATGCAGCCTATGTCAGTGGTTGATATTTAAGAATTTTTATTTTCCTCTTCACTCTTCTAAATGCATTGCCAACCTCAAATAGCGTCTAAGATAATGAACACGGCCATAATGTACTGGACCTATTCGGGAATTAAGAATATGCCTACCTTTTAACTTGTACACTGCTTACGGTAGCGCTTACACAGCATTTCCAATAACACAACCCAAATCCTTGAAAATGATTAGTTGATTAACTGAAAGTGCTTGGATGAACAATTATTTCGACACTATCTCCATAAACGAAATCTCCAGCTTGCACACAAAAAATACTATAAAAAATAGTATCTTGTTAGTCATTTTTAATGAAGCATGTATTAGAGAGGAATTGCTGCCGAAATACACGACGAGTTAATACCCGTCCATATAACAATAGCAATGTTTTTAATCGCTAAAAATATTGTATCTATGAAATTAATCTTTACAAAAGGTCTCTGATTTCTTGGTAGGGATATAATCAGGCCGTCATCAGATCAAAGGAAACACTGAATCTTATATCTAACTTTAGAGGAATGAGGCCTTTGACAGGTAAACAAAAAAATCTATTGATAGTTGCAGGTGCTTGTCCGACTTGATCTGAAGGACATTTGATAATACAACTCCTTCCTCTTTCACTTTCTGCCCTTCCTCTCTCTATTCTACATACCTCCTCTCTTTCTTTCTTGACCTCTTGTTACTCTTAGCATCCGCTCTTCCTTCAATTTCCTCTCTCTTATTCTTCTTATTAGCTTCTCGTGACTATGTCTATCACTCTCCTTTCACACTCACTCACTCACTCACTCACTCACTCACTCCCTCTCTCTCTCTCCCTCTCTCTCTCTCCCTCTCTCTCTCTAGGTCGCACTATTCTCTTTCTTTATTGGTCTCGCGATGATTTTTAAACTCGAATTAGGGTGCGTCTTATCCACGGTTTTGCTTTCCACGGTTTTAGTTATCCACGCTTAGTTCCAGAAATAAACAATCTATTAGTGTTACTTAAGTACAACAGTAGTGGTCGTATCATTTTTGGTTACGTCATGAAAAACTTATAAAGAGCTTCTTTTTATTGAAAAGGTTAAAGTTCCCAATTTAATAAGGATAGAAAAATATACATCTTGACTTTTCTAAGATGTAAGTTAAGGATACATTTTCCATACATTACGTGACTTTTATTGTAGCATTTGGTTATAATAGTTCTATTTTATCATTAATTGTTGTGTCTAATCTCTTAATTAAAATTTCAGGTAAAAATTAATTTTCTCTCCACTACATAACTTTTATTGCAAGATATTGTCATAATTATTGTTTTATTAGTAATTATTCTTGTTAATCTCTTTTTGTGCCTCTACGGTAAGAACGAATCTTCCATCCGTCAAGTAACTTTTATTACATTATTTTGTTACTAAAAAATACCTGTGAAAATTTCACAGATTTCAGATTTTCATTTCCTGGTGAATCTTAATTCTTAAGTTAATGATTGAATAAACTTATGGCGAGTTCTACGAAAATAAAATATCCGTAGAAATTCCCTTATCGCATCGTTAAATATTTGAGTTTAACGACTTTAACAAAATATTGCCATAACAATTATAAATATGAATTATGGGCGTTATTTTAAGAAGTAAGAGGGTACAAATGAACAGATTTAAAATTGACAACTTTTCTATTTCACTGAAACAGATGTTAGACACCTCTATCTTCCTTTCTTTCTTTCTTTTTTATTCTTTCTTTCTTACATTGACTGAAGCCAAGTAATGTCTCTGATATGTCTTTTCTTTCTTTCTTTCCGAGCGATCAAAACGGAATAGTTCATTATTTATAAGGTAAAGACAGGAGGCGTTAAATGCTTCTATCTCCCCTTTTTGTTTGTTTGTTTCTTTCTTTTTCTCACTGAAATCAAGTAGCGTCTTTGGTATATCTTTTCCGTCTTTACACACAATCAACACGAAATAATCCATTATCTATGAGACGCTGGCAGGGCGTGACGGTCGTGCTAACTAACAGGGGGGGGCAGAATGATGATGAGATTATAATAATTGTTCTATTTTATTATTAATTATTGTTGTTAATATCTTATTGTGCCTAAAAACGATCTACGGTAAGAAACGTATCTTCTATTCGCTACATAACCTTTATTACAGTATTTTGTTTTAATTGATGTGTTTTATTAATTATTATTGTTCATCTCTTATTGTGCCAGTTTTATATATCAAACTTTATTATCGTTATAAGTGTGTAGGAAAATTTTTGCTGCTAGTTGCAGATTTTAAATAACCACTGGGGGGTCATGGAACATATCTTTGTAGGTAAAGGACTCTATTGCATCTGGTGGCTATGTTAGAAGGCTTCCCTTTCAGATTAACTGCAAGATCCTAGTAAGCACAAACTGTCTAGCACGACATAGTGAACCAAATTTCCTGGCAGCAAAACTAGCAATTGATTCCTTGTAATCGTTTCACTTCATGTCAATGGAAAAAATGAGACCGAGAAAGGCCATTTCTTGCCCCAGTTAACAACAGATCGAAGGTAATTTTTGCGATCAGCTGTCAATTTGATTGTATCAGGAGATTAAGTGAGTATTTTGCAGGAAATTAAGTGAAGATTGTGTAGCTCCAACTCAGACATGATAGCAATACTCCATTTTAGTCTAATCTGACTCTTGTAAAGATAAAGCATAGTAGAAGGAACCAGGTACTTTCTGGAACGGTACAAGGAAACGAGAATTTATCTATCATCTTTAGCAATGGATCCGACATATGAGTTCATCTTGAAGTCAATAAACATTCAAAGCATCAATCCTCATTTAGAGTGAAAACTTTCAACGTGACAGGAGAAAACTGAAAATATTCCCAGTTATAATGAAATGATACTAGCTTGGTTTTGAAAGTTACAATTCAGATTTTCTCTCGTTGAGCTGTTAAAACTTCATCAGCGGTAAAGCTCCGAACCTCTTGAATTTTCGAGATGTTTTCATAAACTGTAATGTTGCCAGCATATATATTTGTTAATGATAGCAGTGTCTTCTTTCAGATAAACAATATGGTTTTCGCTTCTCCAAGTCAACTGCTGATGTGTTCAGCTATTGTTGTAAAAGAGTCTGTCAGGCTTTAGATAAAAATGGTAAAGCTCGGACTGTTGTTTTAAATATCCCGAAGGCGTTTGACAGGGTTTGGCATGCTGGTTTTCCTCACAAGTTGAAGGGCTATGGCATTTTTTGCCGATTTTTTTATTCCATCTTTCTTATCAAATCGCGTAATGAAAGTTGTCTTGAACTGCCCCTCTTCTATATTTTTTAAATTAATATGGGTGTCCCGCAGGGCTCTATCTTTAGACCTACTTTGTTCCTTATTTTCATCAACGACCTCACCGATATCATGTTCTCGACTCGGTATCTATACTGAAGACACAACTATTTCACACTGTCTCAATAGTAAAGTTCGATAGAATCAAATTGACAGCTGATCGCGAAAATGACTTTCGATCTGTTGTTAACTGGGGCAATAAATGGCTTGTTAATTTTAACGCCTCCAAAACGAAACTGCTCACCCTTAATCATCTTAGAGAGCCATTTTTACTTTGCCCCAGAATGGCTGATGCTAACCTCTAGGAGAGTGACACATTGCGCCTTCTCGGTCTCACGTTTTCCACTGACATGAAGTGAAATGATTATAGGGAATCAATTGTTAGTTTTGCTGCCAGGAAAGTTGGTTCACCGTGTCGTACTAGACTATTTATCTTGCTATAATCTTGTAGTTAAACTGAAAAGGAAGCCTTTTAAGATATCCATCATAGTTGTATATGCACCGACAGCACAAAGTAGGGAAGAAGAAATTGAAAAGATTTACTGTACGCTAGACAAAACCAAGGCTCAATACAAATCGCAAGAAATTACAATAGTCATGCGTGATCTGAATGCCAAAGTAGACAAGGAGAGAGATTGTGAAATATTTTGCAAATTCGGACAAGGAACTCGTAATGAAAGCGGAGAAAAATAGGTTCAATGGTACACGGCAAGTGATCAGGTAGTAGCCAACACCTGTTTTTTAAGACCACCGATGACGTATATGAACATGAAGAAGCACGGGAAGAGAAACGAAAAACCAAATTTATATAACTATCAATAAGAGATTCAGGAATGCAATTTTATATTGCAAAACATACCAAAGTGCTAACTGCGGGAGTGATCACCTTCCACTGATATGTGAAAAAATTGAAGAGAGCCAAAATATGACCCAACTTGCATACAACTGAATAACCTCTGAATGACCTGAATGACCTCTGAATGACCTGAATGTTAAGGAGAAATATATGGATGGATACAGTTAAAATGAGAACGAAAATACTGCCTTCTTAAAATCTATGTTTAGTCCTTTCTTCTCGTTTTCTTAACTACCTTCTGTTGGGTATTCTATAGTTTCCTTTCTGTGTCGTCTACATATCTTATGTTGTTAAGGTTATGTCCACCAATCAGGGTCGGATTTTGGGCTTAAGAAGCCTCTCGGCTAATAGAATTTATGGACCTTTTCATTAGGTACGTTTGCACCCCGTGTCTATATAAAAAGACCAATTTGTCCAATTTTGACCAATTTTGTACTTATTACATCTTTGTGTTCGATGAAAGATAAAATTGAGCAAAAATAATTATAAAAAAGCTACATCAAAAATCTATATATATATAAAATCAAAATGGGGTCCTCATTGAATTTAAAAGATCCAATCCAACTTCTTTCTTTCTATGTGCCGTGTCCTTTCAGGACGTAGGCGATCATGGTTCTCTACCTCCCTCTATCCCTTGCAGCTCTCAACAAGTTCCTCCCTTCTGCCACCTCCGCCAGACCACGCTCTGTTATCCACTTGCTTAAGGCCGCTAGATATGTCATGCGTTTTTCCCTTGTCGCTCTTTCCCTCTGTTCGACCCGTGTGTATCAGATTCTCTAGGCCCTCCTTCCTCATTATGTGTCCCAGGAACTTCAGCCTTCTCTTCCTGATGTTAAGTATAAGCCTCCTCCTTGTTTGCATCCTCTCTAAAACCTCATCGTTACTCACACGCTTGATCCATGATATTCTTAGCATCCTTCTGTAGAACCACATCTCCGTCGCCTCAAGTCTCTTCATCTTTGAGGAAATTGTCCAACATTCGCTGCCGTAATGAAGGACAGATGTCACGTAACTGTTCAGTATTCTTTTCTTCGTTACCAAAGAAATCCTCCTGTCTCGCAATACTCTGCCCAGCTTTTGGAATGAGTCTTTGGCCATCCCAATACGTCTACGGATCTCAGTGTCGGAATTACCGTAGAGGGACCTAAATACTCTAAATCGTTTCAAATTAGTTCAGAGGAGTCCTATTAAATCTGAAATCTGTTCTTATATCGTTTTTTTTTTTTTTTTTTTTTTTTTTTTTAGATTTCTCAAGGGCCCTCTAGATGTTGGGCCCCTAGACTGCAGCCCATATTTGATCATATGTAAATCCAGCACTGCCGCCAATAATAAATCCCGGTAGGTTAGAGTCTTATATTTTGTAATTAATAGGATATGAATAAAAAGTAACTGAATTATGTGGCTAAACATTGTTGTCACTAGTTATAAAACTCCTACACTCAGTTAGTCTTGCTGGAGACTGATATATATTCAGTAGATTTATAAACAGAAAATGACTATGGGACAATAATAGTCTAAAAAATTAGTACGATATAAACATAAAACGTATAATAACATTCTACAGAGAATAAATTTTTAACATACAACGTGTGTTAGCACGTGCGATACCCTGTCTTCATCAACCGCCGATTGGGGTGATATCACGGTTTCGGTGGCTATGGCGGGACCGCCACCCCTAGCGCCACCAGCAACGTTTGCCACCAGACAAAATATATAATAAATTTGTACACAAAGCAA